GAAGGGGGGCGTGGGAAGAGACTGAACATAAACTGTGCACCTATGGATGAGGACAATTGGGAGAGGGGAAAGGGCAGAGGGCGGGGTGGGAACCTGGGGGAGGAGAGCAATGGTGGGGGGGAACATTTGTAATAATATGAACAATAAAAACTTATTAAAAAAAAAAAAAAAAAAAAAAAAAAAAAAAAAAGAATAGAAAGGCCCTAACTGGTTTGGCGCAGTGGACAGAGCATCGGCCTGCAGACTGAAGGGTCCCAGGTTCAATTCCGGTCAAGAGCATGTACCTTGGTTGTGGGCACATCCCCGGTGGGGGGTATGCAGGAGGCAGCTGGTCGGTTTCTCTCTCATCAATGTTTCTAACTCTCTGTCCTTCTCCCTTCCTCTCTGTAAAAAAAAAAAAAAAAAAATCAATAATATATATATAAATAAAAATAAATATATAATAAATAAATATATATATTTATTTTTAATATATTTTATTGATTTTTTACAGAGAGGAAGGGAGAGGGATAGAGAGCTAGAAACATCGATGAGAAAGAGACATCGATCAGCTGCCTCTTGCATACCCCTTACTGGGGATGAGCCCGCAACCAATGTACATGCCCTTGACTGGAATCGAACCTGGGACCCTTCAGTCCGCAGACCGACGCTCTATCCATGAAGCCAAACAGGTTTCGGCAAAATATATATTTTTTAAAAAATAGAATGGACATTACAGTGAAGATTCCTGAAGAATTAAAACCACGGCTTGTTGAGGACTGGGACTTAGTTACCAGGCAGAAGCAGCTATTTCAACTCCCTGCTAAGAAACATGTAGATGCCATTCCAGAAGAGTATGCAAGCTGCAAGAAATCGCAGAGAAATGTCAACAACAAGGAATACGCAGCGAATGAAGTTGTTGCAGAAATAGAAGAATACTTCAGCGTGATGTTGGGCACTCCGCTGCGCTACAGATTTAAGAGCTGAAATCCTCTGGTTCACCCTGATGCGCCCGAGTCCCAACTTTATGGAGCACCAGACCGAGATTATTTGTAAGAATTGGAGAATTCGGGCGTACACGCCCGTTGATGAGAAGAGCCTTAGGTTATTGTTGGGCTATTGGTGTGATATCCTAAAATATCTGCCGGGACCAGTTTGGCTCAATGGATAGAGCGTCGGCTTGGGAACTGACGGGCCCTGGGTTCATTCCGGTCAAGGGCATGTGCCTTGGTTGCGGGCATATCTCCGGTGGGGGGTGTGCAGGAGGCAGCTGATCGATGACTCTCTCATTGATGTTTCTAACTCTCTATCTCTCTCCCTTCCTCTCTGAACAAAAATCAATAAAATATATTTAAAAAAAAATATCAGGCAAAGAACGCTGCATCTCTGTTTACTGCCAGTGATTACGAAGCAGTGATTACTTTGGCTGAGTACCACCGCAAAGCCCTGTGAGGGTCTTCTGAGCACTCACTATCATGTCTGGTGTCCGTAAACACTCTTTTTGTCCTTAGACTTTTTCTCATATAATTGTTGTTCTTTAAAATTGTTAATGTAGGACCTGCGCTACCACCATCTGTCCACCATCCAGAACTGAAATATCATTGCTGACATGTACACATAAGAAACTGTTTGACATTGAGACTGGGTCTCAAAAGAACTGTTGGCCCAGAAAGAAACTCACTACAGACTGATGCAATTGCCTTTCAGCATAACCATTATTGCTTGTCTCATTTTCGGTTCTTATATGTGTATTTCCAGTAGGAAATGATCTCACTCATCCAGGGGAAATGAAGAACAACATAGACTGATGAACAAGCACAGGCCCAGAGACAAGGAGCCATGGGTCAGACTGTTGGACCTCAGGGGGAGGGTGGGGATAAAGGGGAGAGATCAACCAAAGGACTTGTGTGTATACATATGAGCCTGACCAGTGGTCAAGGACAAAAAGGGGGGTGGGGAGGGGTGGGGGATGGGACTGGGGGGATGAGGACAAATATGTGATACCTTAATAAAGAAATTTAAAAAATTGTTAATGTATAACAGGACTTATATTGTATTTCAGTTTTTCTGTTCTGTTTTAAACAGAAAATAAAAGGATTACAAGCTCCTTTTCTCATTTCAACCATTGTATGCAGTAATTAGACAAAAAAGATACATTCAGTAGAACATTTTCTTGCATGCTTGACAACATTGCTTGAATGTTGGTGGTCCTATCTCTTTTACATGACACAATTTTCTAATTATGATTAATGCTATGTGATAAAAATGCCCTGATTCCTAGTGCCAAAGGTTCTACTTAATGTATATTTTGGAAAACCCATGCAATTGTGCTCTTTTTTAAATGGTGCTTGAAATAAAACAGCCCAGCCTTTGCAAGTCCATCTATGTTGTCCCTCAGGCATTCTTTCTTTGCTCTGATTGTTGAAGGATTGTGGTTTGTCTCATCATTTTTGTATTTGAGTCTAATGCACATTCTAACATGATAGAGGCAATGCTTTATTGTGTAGCCATGGTTTTCTGGAGAAGTTGATATTTTAGGAACTGTATTTCAGATCTTAAATAAATTTTTTCTAAATTTCAAAGCAAAAAAAAGTTAAAAAACTGAATCTAGCTGAAACCGTTTTGGCTCAGTGGATAGCGCATTAGTCTGTGGACTGAAAGGTCCCAGGTTCGATTCCAGTCAAGGGCATGTACATTGGTTGCAGGCACATCCCCGGTAGGGGGTGTGCAGGAGGCAGCTGGTCAATGTTTCTCTCTCATTGATGTTTCTAGCTCTCTACCCCTTTCCCTTCCTCTCTATAAAAAAAAATCAATAAAATATATTTTTAGTCGAAGCCGGTTTGGCTTAGTGGATAGGGCGTTGGCCTGTGGACTGAAAGGTCCCAGGTTTGATTCCGGTCAAGAGCACGTACCTTGGTTGTGGGCACATCCCCAGTAGGGGGTGTGTAAGAGGCAGCTGATTGATGATTTTCTCTCATCGATGTTTCTAACTCTCTATCCCTCTCTCTTCCTCTCTATAAAAAATCAATAAAATATATATAAAAAAAACAACATTGAAAAAAAATATTTAAAAAAACGAAATCTATTAAATATAATATATATATATATATATATATATATATATATATATAATTTATTTATTTCAAAGAGGAAGAAGGAAAGAGAGATAGAAACATCCATGATGAGAGAGAATCATGGATCAGCTGCCTCCTGCAAGTGCCCCACTGGGGAGTGAGCCCACAATCCGGGCATGTGACCTTGACCAGAATCGAACTTGGAACTTTCAGTTCACAGGCCGACACTCTACCCACTGAGCCAAACTGGCTAGGTCTTAAATATAAGATATTTAAGGAAACTAACACTTTATGCTTCATGAAATGGATAAGAGAAATTTGAAGGTCTTCTGAAATCTAAAATTTCTAAAACAAATTGTCCTGAAAAACTAAAAAAATTAAACATGTAGTTTATAAGAATAGAAAAATTTTGAAATACCAATTTTTATTCAATAATTAAAACTCTGAATAAAATGGCTTAGTCTTATATTAAAAATTATTTTTGAGCCCTAGCTGGTTTGCTCAATGGTTAGAGCATGGGCCCTCAGCCTGAGGGTAGTGGGTTCAATTCTGGTCAAGGGCACATACCTTGGTAGGCTCAATCCTGCCCTGATTGGAGTGCATGTAGAAGGCAACCAATCATTGTGTCTATCTCACATCAATGTTTCTGTCTCTATCCCTCCCTTCCACTCTCCCTAAAAATCAATGGAAAAAATATATCCTTGAGTTAGGATTAACAAAAAATAATAAATTATTTTTGAAAAACTGATTTTCTGAAGTCCTAAAGATATACAATTCATTTTAATGAAACACTGAATGAAGTGGTTTAAACTATATAGATTTTTGTTTTTGTTTTTTATTTTTAAAAGTGTATGTTTTTTATTTTTCAAATATATTTTATTAATTTTTTACAGAAAGGAAGGAAGAGGGATAGTTAGAAACATCAGCTGCCTCCTGCACGCCCCCTACTGGGGATGTGCCTGCAACCAAAGTACATGCCCTTGACAAGAATCGAACCTGGGACCTTTCAGTCCGCAGGCCGATGCTCTCTACCCAATGAGCCAAACCAGTCAGGGCTAAATTTTTGTTTTTAAAATAAACTTTTAAACATTTCTAGAAAAAACAAATAATTAATTATGAAATTAAAAAAAACTGGCTAATTTTTAACATAAAAAACTAATCATAAATAATCAAAAAGAAATAATAGAGAACATTAACAAAATAAATTATGTGCTATTTGGGAACACCTAATATCATATAAGGATAATAATAAGAAAAATAAAGATAATAATAACACATACCTTTTAGTTTAGCAGAAAAATTAGGGAGAAGAAATTCAAAGAAACTATTTTGTATGCACCCATGAAGATTTCATGATATAGAAATCATGACTAAGGAGCAATTGCCTTTCCTGGGCTGGATGTCTGGGAAGGCCTGACAGGCCCTCAGGACAGCCGCAGAGAATCTTCTGGACTTCCCAGAAAAAGAATCCCCAAGTTCCGGAAGTTTGCAGAGGGAGCTATGTAAATAGTATTAAAAAATACTGTTAGTGCCCTAGCCAGTTTGCTCAGTGGAGAGAGCCATAGGCTGTGGATGGAAGGGTCCTGGGTTCTGTTGTGAACACGGGCAGGTAAGTCGGTTGCAGGCTCAATCACTGGCCCTGGTTGGGGTGCATGTGAGAGACAACCAATTGATGTGTCTCTCTCACGTCGATCTTTCTCTGTCTCTCCCCTTCCCTTCCACTCTCTCTAAAAATCAATGAAAAAAATATCCTCAGGTGAAGATTAACCCAACAACAAAAACTTTTAGCTGCTTCTGAAAAGCTGTTTTTAAAAGGCCTTCAACATTCATTCTGGCGATAAAGCACCGACAAGCATAGTGGGGTGGAGCCTCTGGGTCCCATCTGGTGATAAGCCTGGAGGGAAGAGCCCCTGGCGGTCCCTCCGGTTGAAGAGACCAAACTTGGACTATGTAATGAGACCGTGTTTAATAACACCAACATACAAGTGAGGGCAGTGGGGGCTAAGAGGAAGGGGGAGGGGCGAGGGCTGCAGTGACCTGGGGTGGTGGGTAAGCAGTGACACTGCTTCCAGCACCTTTCCCCTCACAGCCTTTCAAGAGTCCTGAAGGGACACAGAGCAGGACTGATCCCATTTTACAGTTGGAGAAACTGAATTCCAAATAAGCTCACTGGCTTGTCCAAAGCCACACAGGGTTCCTGGTCCTTTCTTCAGCCCACTGTGGTCCAGCTCAGAGGAGTGTGAGGAGGTGGACACCACAAGAAGAGCAAGCACAGTATACAGATGGGCAGGGATGTGGTATGTACGAAGGCTGGGGGTGGGGGATTGGCAGGAGGGCAGTAATCCTTGGCACCTGCAGCACAGCCACTTGGGTGTCTGCTTCTCCCATCTTCCCTCCTGGGTGCCCAGGCCCTCAGAACCAGCTGAGGGAGGTCATAGGGCAAGAGGGCTGCTCCTTGCAGTGTTCATTGGTCAAGCTTTCCTTGGCACCTACTGTGCACGAGTCCAGTGCAGAACCAGGCAGGGCAACGTGGAAGAGGAAGGTGGAGCTACATCACACTATGTAGCCGGTCACAGTGCTGCGAGGGGAACACAGAGGGAACACACGTGCCATGCAGAGGGGCTTGCACTGAAGGTGCCGTGTGGGCAGGGAGCTAAGGAGGGTGCAGACCTGGTACACGGACTTGCAGGGAGGACTGGATGAGACAAGCACGACATGATGAGGAGTCTGGACGGGATCCTGGGGACCAGGTCACTGCAGCGACGTGGAGGAGAAATGGGGCCACCACAGAGACTGCAGAGAGCTTAGGAGGCTCTGATGGTGAGAACGAGAACTGGAGAAGGCTCTGTGGGTCCAGGCTTCTCCAGGCAGGTCCCTGAAACGGAGCTGGCTGGTTTGAGGTCAGAGGCCCTCCCCTAGCCATCTTGGGAGGCCTCTCAAGTGTGAGTCCACAGCGAGGCCCAGAGGAAGCTTCCGACTCTGCAGAAACATAAGAACATATGATGTCCATTCTAGTCCTTCATCCCACTGGCCCTTAGCCCTCCCGTGGGACGAGCCCAGAGCTCAGCACAGATCCTGCCTTCCCCAACCTCTTTCACTTTGTGGTTAACTGTCCAAGAGGCAGCCCCAGGAGGCCAGCATGGGAAGGAGGAAACTGGATTAGAAGCCCGAGGCAGATGCTCCTGCTAAGAAAATCCCCAGGTGCCAAAACCGGTTTGGCTCAGTGGATAGTGCCGGCCTGCAGACTGAAAGGTCCTGGATTCGATTCTGATCAGGGGCGTGTACTTTGGTTGTGGGCACATCCCCAGTAGGGAGTGTGTAAGAGGTGGCTAATCGATGATTCTCTCTCATTGATGTTTCTAACTCTCTATCCCTCTCTCTTCCTCTCTGTAAAAAATCAATAAAATATATAAAAAAAAGAAAGAAAGAAAAAAAGAAAGTCCCCAGGGCACCTGTGTCTTCTCAGGACCAACACACCTCTGGAGAACCACAGCAGCAAGGCAGGCAGGAGGCTGCAGAGCCTTGCACAGAAGCCATGCAAAGAGGCACCAGCAGGGGGTGCCACAGACCCACACTTGGCAGCAGGTTCCTTTGCCTTTCCAGTCCTGTCTCCACCGTGAAGGGATTAAGGATCAGGGGCTGCAAGTGATAGTCCCTGCTAGGCCTTAGGCACAGGATGGCCCCTCAGAGGAGAGCCAGGGCCTGAGACCAAGGTGGAGGCAGGTCCTGTCTAGCCCAGCATCAGGACCCAGCTGCACCCCAATGCTGCCTATGCATGTGGTGAGGGTATCTTCACTAACTGCCTCTTCCCTAAAGAGAGAGCCGGCCACCCACCGCCCCACCCCCATGGCGCTCAGTCACCATCAGCACAGGCCTGTCAGCAGGTGTCGGGGTCCTGGAAGCCCCAGGCTTCCACGGCAGCGATGAGGAAGTTCTCAGAGCAGAGGGGCTGGTTGTTGAAAGTGTCGCAGTGGCCCGTGCGGCCCCGATTCAGGTCCCCGTCGATGTAGAGAGCCTGGCCGCCCCCTCCACCTGCAGGATGCTCAGTCAGTGGCTGCCCCTGTCTGGGACCGCCCTGGAGGTGCTCTTCTCCTGCCCCTGAGCATCTCCACTCGTCCCTGCCCCAGGCTTCCTAGAGGCCTAAAACCACAGGGCCGACCTTCAACCCTCCAAAAGCCTGTCTGCCCTCAGCCCGGGTTCAAACTCTAGGCTAGAGCCCACTTCCCAGCTGGTTTACCCAGAATACCTGCCCCTACTCCCGCTCCTCCTGCCTGCTTTCTTACTCTGACGTCACGGGGGCTCTGCCTGACCTCCTGAGTTAGCAATGACTGACCCAGGGGCTCTGGCCACCCATGCCCCTGTCCCCTTCTCCAAGGCTAAGTGAGACCAGCCTGAGGTGAAGGAAGATACCCACCGATGATGAGGCAGTCACAGCCCCCAGCCATGAACATGGACTCAGTCTTGGAGGGCAGATTGAAGTGCCGAGTGGCCAGGAACGGTGAGAGGCGGTCAGCGGGGTCTGAGGATGAGGACAAGGACATGGCGTGGCAGTGCCGGGACGCAGTGGCAGTGCTCTCCAAGGACATTGGCTTAGTCAGCTCTGGGTGTTTGATGACCACCCACTCGTAGCGCTGGACCTCCGGCTGCAGCTGAAGAAGATGAAAGGGCAGTCTGAGGAGCTGGCACACTGCCCTGCAGGGCCCTCTGGCCACTTTCCTCCCACAGATCTTCACTGAAGAGCTCTGTGCACGAGGCCGCCTGCAGGGCTGAGGAGACAGTGCCACACGAGGCAGGAAAGGGCCTGCCTGCTCTCACGGATCTCAGGGTCTAATGATCACAAACCAGAGGAAAACGGGGAGGTTATCCTCTAGGGTAACTGCAATAACAGGATCAAGTGAGCAGGGGGGATAGGGTGCTGGGCCTGTTGATCTTAGAGCACCTGCAGGGGAACCCACTCACCCTAAACACAAAGCATTCTCCGGTCCCAAAGAAGCACAGTTTGCCTCCAAACTTATTTCTCTCGCTCCAGTCTGTTGACAGGTAAGCTCCACACACCTGGGGAGAAAGACCCACGGTGAGGCTGCATCCTGCTGGCCTGCAGGAGCATGTCTCTGCTCAAGGCCTGCTCAGGGGCCATGGCACCATCACAGCTTGTTGCCACTGAACCCTCCAATCCCACTTGAGGGCAAGAGCTGCAGAAGGTGAAGAGGTGTGGGAAGCCAGAGTTTGGAGGGCGTGGGGCTAGCAGTGACAGTGGGGGTGAGGGCGTGGCTGTCATCAGCTCGTTTGGGATATTTTCATTTTGTTTCCCTCCTTGGCCCTCAAGCATGGGAAGAGCCCCATGTCCACACTCTGATGTTGGGCATCAGCCCCAAGCAGGCCCCTCAGATGAGAGCTTCCAGGAAGTACGCCTGCTCACCAACATTCTCCAACCCCGTCAGCCAGCAAAGCGCTTCATCTCACCATTAAAGTCAAGTCTGCCGAGACCGGTTTGGCTCAATGGATAGAGAGTCGGCTTGGGGACTGAAGGGACCCGGGTTCGATTCCGGTCAAGGGCATGTACCTTGGTTGCGGGCATATCCCCAGTAGGGGGTGTGCAAGAGGCAGCTGATCGATGACTCTCTCTCATCGATGTTTCTAGCTTTCTATCTCTCTCCCTTCCTCTCTGTACAAAATCAATAAAATATATTTAAAAATAATAAAAAAAATAAAAATAAAGTCAAGTCCCCTAGTGGCTGCAGAGTCTTCCCCAAGTGTCTGACAATCAGTCACCTGCTACGATATAGATGCCCAGGTTCCTCCTGGAAACCCAGACACAAAGTCTGGAATGGGAAGAAGAACCTAAAACTCCCATGGGTGCAGGTTTGGGAGACACTTGAAAAAGAAGCTTCTACTGCCCTAGCCGGTTTGGATCAGTGGATAGAGAGTCAGCCTGCGGACCAAAGGGTCCCAGGTTCAATTCCAGTCAAGGGCACATGCTTGGATTGGGGGCTCAATCCCCTGTAGGGGGTGTGCAGGAGGCAGCCAATCAATGATTCTCTGCCATCATTAATGTTTCTCTCTCTCTCCCTCTCTTCTCTGAAATAAATAAAAGCGTTATATATATATATATATATATATATATATATATATATATGTAAATATATATAAAACAAAAACCTCAAATGAAATGTTTAAAAAAAAAAAAGCCTCTACCACTGGCAGACACCCCCAGGATGGGGGCACATGAGTGCTGACCTCCCTATCCTGGTAACTTTCCAGGGGGCAGGCACTGTAGCAGAAAGGGCCCTGTTAGGGGGTGGAGGTGCGGTGGGAGGAGCTGGGCCTCACTTACTAAGCATTGCTGCAATGGTCCTCCTAAGTAGCCAGGCTGTTTCAGCAGGGCCTGGACCCTCAGGGAAACAAGGAGGCCCTGGGAACTTGGGGTCAGATAGGGAGGCAGATTCACTTTGCTGTGGAGGGAGGCTCTGCTCTGTGCCCCTAAGTGCAGGAATGCTGGGTGGAGGCTGTAGGGGCTCAGAGCTCAGAGTCCCCAAAACTCAGAGGCCAGAACCCCAGGCTCCCTCTGGTCCCTGCTCACCTCCTTTTGTGTGGTCTTAATGAGCAGGAGGGTGGGCTCGTGTCCTTCACACTGGAAATAGAACCTGGGGGAAGAGACCACACGTGCCAGTCCCGATGGGAAGCAGTTCTCCTGAACCCCTTCCCTGTACCACCTCTAGCCAGCTTTTGCTGACCAGCACTCACAGCATCTGAGCAACCTGAACTGCTAGGGGCAGACGGGCCTAGGGACTGCATTTCCTTGTCTCCTGGGGACCAGGCACTGTGGCCAAGGCCCTAGCAACACTCTGGACTGGGCACTCTTCTAAGTCAAGATGGAGCTCCCCCTGGGTCTGGAGGACTGTCTGCCCCGGTGTGAAGCGTGGCAAATACCCCCCCAGCAGGAAGAGCTGTGTGCCAGGTGCTTCGGAGAAGCAAAAACGAGAGGAACAGGTCCCTGCTCTAAAAAAGCTCGGAGTCCAAGCATGTGGGAGCCTGCTGGCACTGGGAAGCATGTGAGGAAGTCTGAGGTTGCCACTGTGGTGGCTCCAGGCGCCCAGCGCTTGGCCGGCAGCCCTGGCAGCTCCATTTAGCCGTCCCTAAATGGAGCCCTGACTGTGCCTAAATGCTCATGGGGCTACAGACAGCCCCCGCCACGTGGGCTGGGCCAACTCTGCCTGTGCTGCGTCTGTTGGGTCACCTGTGACCCAAGCCAGAGCGTCTGAGGCTCAAGGGAGTGCTGACCCTGACAGAGCTGCCAGGGAGGCAGTGTGCCCTGGGGAGGCCAGCACAGCCCCAGCCCCACAGGGCCAACCTGTTCCTGGCTTGTGAACTGACAGGGTGGGGGTGGGGAGAACTGAACCGCACCGCCTGTTGCCTTGCGTCGTCCTCTCTTCTAGCTCTGTAAGCTCCCATGTCATCACAATGCCTACAGGAGGACATGGAGCCGTGGCGTGTATGGCAATGACCGACGCCTGAATTTGGGTGGCCTGGGAGTGAGAGAAGCCAGGAAAGGGCTTCCCAATTCCAGGGCCCGAGAAGAGGCAGGGTCTCACCAGGTACCAAGGCTCACAGGTCCATTGTCAGTGTGACTTCCTGGAAGCACAGACAGAACCAGAAGCTGGACAACTTCACCACTCCCTCTGCCCCCCCAGCACCTGACCCTTAGAATCCATGCCTTGGGGCCTCGGAGGGCAGGCCCACCTCCCCAGTCTCCCAGCATTACCTACTCAGGCTGTACCCATGCTGCAGTGAGGAGAAGAGCAGGAGGGGCTGACAGAGGGCGAATCGCTCAGGGATCCAGGACCAGATATCTCTCATCTCCTTCACACTGACAATCTCCGAGTGAAAGTTCTCCGCGTGAACAGCCAGGTGCACAAACTGCCTGGGGAGAGCCAGGAGAGATTCAGAGCACACCTGCAACCCCAGGCCTGCCCATACCCCCTACCCTGAGGGTGTGCATTGGATCTCTTGGAAGCTAAGCCTGGAGGGAACTTCTCACCTGTGCAGCCTGGTCCAAGGTACCCTCAGGAAGAAACAGGGTGCAGCTGACCCTGGAGCCCCACTCCCATCCCTCCTTACTAAGAGGGGAGAGCACCCAGCCCAGACAAGGACAAAAGCACCTTTTCTCTAAGAAATGGGACAGAAGGTGAATCAGCTCTAGCAAGACACTGCTCAAGGCCAGCCAAGCACGAGCAGAGAGCACAGCTGAGCAGACAGACAGACAGACAGACAAAAGAACAAACACCAGCCAGGCTCCAAGGCAGCACTTCTGAAGCAAGCCCTGAGAGCCAGTACAAGCAGCCAGGCCCCGGGATAGCCAGGCCAGAAGACAGTGAGAATCCAGGCATGGAGATGTGGTTTCCAGACCTACCTTTTAGAAAGTGAAACACTGAAAAACAGGAGGAAGCAACGGACATGGAGAAGAGGAAGAAAAATAAAACAGACAGGAGAGGTTAGTAGCAAGTACTGAAGTCTAGGACATGCCTGCCTTTGGCCTGGAAGAAAGGCCTTCACACCGACAGTCATGTCATCTGCCATCAAGACAGTATCAGGACACCCTGGGCCCTTCCCATCCCTGCTTCCCAGGGGTCTGAGTTCAGGGCAGGGGGCATGTCCAGCAGCAAGTGAGCCCAGAGCTGGAGGGGTAGAAGACCAGAGGCACAAAACAAAAACAAAAAGACCAGAGGCAGCCAGTCTGGCCCACTCTTTGCTCTTCTGACCACATGGTCAGCACCCAGCTTTCATCTCCACCACGGGCCGCAGGCCTGAGGACAGTCACCTGTGCCTTTCGTCCCCACAGCTGCCTCAGCAGCCCGGGGCTATTCCCAGGAAAGTCCTCCCTCTTTTCCTATCCATGTACAGATGGCTGGCTGGCAGTAGGCAGACCAAGAGGCTGGCAGGACAAGCTCATGCCCAAGTCCCCAGGATGTATGCCACCAAAGCCCCACCCCACGTGGGCCCCTCGCAGCCTGCCCGGAGGCCAGCCTACCTCTTCTGCTTGACAGTGATGCCCTTCTGCTTCAGAGCTTTCTCGTTGGCCATATGCAGAAGTTGAATCTCCTTCCGAGAGAAGAGGCGGATGGCGAATGCTTTCTCCAGCAGCTTCTCAGGAGACACGGTCTTGGCGATGTCCTTGACGAAAGCACGGATGTCCTGCTTCACGTTATCCGACTCCAGTGGCTGTCCAGCTCTCACCTTGTGGAAGAACTTGAGGATTGCCAGTGCAACGCGGTACAACACCTTGTAACCTTCCACTAGGAAGACATCGAAGACACGCGCGAAGTAGCTGAGGGGAAGCTCCCCGAACAGCCAGCGCTGCCAGTCCGCGTAGACCTGCAGGACGTCCTCCGACACGGCCACCATCAGCTTGTGGGCTGCCTGACAGTACTTGTTCACCAGGTCCCCAAAGGTCATGCAGGAAGACTCAAAGGCCAGAAAGCTCTGGTCGATCAGCCTCTTGCTGGGGTCATTGCAAGCCAGGATGCGGCAGGTCTTCTCGAAGCACTCGGCTTCGTCGATGCTGTAGTGCAGCAGCAGGGCCACCACCGCCGGCAGAGCGGGGCAGAAGGAGATGTCGGGGAACTGGTTGGCGATGCACAGCAGGATCTTCCGCACGGCACCCTCGCCCCGTGTGTTCAGGCAGTAGCTGGGCACTTGCGTGTTGTCGACAAACTCAGGCAAGGGCAGGGTGCTGCTGCTGTGCTTTCCCACGATCTTGCCCACAATGTCACTGTACACGCTGGCATCGGGCGTGACCGTGCGGCAGGGGATGTCCCGGATCAGGCGCTGGTACACCTTCCCCCGCAGAGCGTGGCTGTTGGCCCAGTAACCCTGGCGGGCCAGCTGCTTCAGGTCTTGCAGCTCAGTGCAGCTCAGCTCCTTGGGTCCCAGGTCCTGGATGGCAGAGTCCATCTTGTCTCTGTCCACAAAGCAGTTGTACCCGTGGCAGTCCATACTGCAGGCTGCACCTGGGGGGAGGGCCCTGGGCTGCCAGGAAAGGGCAAAGAGCAGCTAAATCCTCCAGCCACCTGTGGAGGCTTTTCTGCTAACCTGTTTGCCACCCCATGCCTTGTAGGATTAAAAACCATTTGTAATACATGTGCATAAAGGTTCTCATTTTAGAGAATATGTTTTGTTTGACTGTATAAAGTATTACAACGGCTCCATTTAAGATAGGTGGGTATTCTGAGGATTCACTATGAACTCTGGAGTATAATGTCTTTTCATGGAGCTTATCAAGTTACTGTAATAGGTCACACATATTATAAATATCAAGAGGCTAGAAACAGCTGAAACTGGTTTGGCTCAGTAGTAGAGCGTTGGTCTGCGGACTGAAAGGTCCCGTGTTCGATTCCGGTCAAGGGCATGTACCTTGGTTGCGGGCACATCCCCGGTAGGGGGTGTGCAAGAGGCACTGGTTGATGTTTCTCTCTCATCGACGTTTCAAGCTCTCTATCTCTCTCCCTTTCTCTCTGTAAAAAAATTTATAAAATATATTTTTTTTTTTAAAAAGAAGAAAAAAAAAAGAGGCTAGAAACAAGTTCCTGGAAGAGCTTCAAAAGAGAGCCCGACAACGACTCTCAGTGAGGGGTCCCGGGCCTAACAGGCTCCCACACACCACCGTCCTGTGGCCTGCGGGCCTATGGAAGGGTCCATTGGCTAAAGGGACCTATTGTATTTAAGTCAAGATATGCTTTGTTTCATTCAGTTCTCAAGGGTTTCAGGCCTTTAACCAGCTGTGTATCATGAGGAAGGCACACCCTACTCTGCCCCACTGTCCCTGGGTTAGAATTCAGAGGCCAGCTCTTAACCTTCTAAACATGCTAGCTAGGTTTTAGGCAGGTACTCCAGAGGAGAAATACTAGTGAGGAGTAGACATCAGGGCTGAGAAATAAATAAAGCTGTTACAGCTTCAAAATTAGACTTCTTGTTTGTTTGTTAATCCTCACCCAAGGATGGAGATATATATATATATATATATATATATATATATATATATATATATATATATCACTATTTTTTATTTTCTATTGACTTCAGAGAGGAAGGGAGAGGGAGAGAGAGATAGAAACATCAATGATGAGAGAATCATTGACCAGCTGCCTCCTACACGCCCCCTACTGGGGATCAAGCCCACAACCTGGGCATGTGCCTTTGACTAAAATCAAACCCGGGACCCTTCAGTCTGCAGGCCAACGCTCTATCCACTGAACCAAACCAGTTAGGGCCCGAGGATATTTTTCCCATTGATTTTTAGGCAGGGGAAGTGAAGCGGGTGGGGTGGGGGGCAGGGGAGAAAAGCATTTCTCTATTTGAGAAAGACAATTGATTGGTTGCCTCCTGATTGGGGCTGGTGATCAAACCTGTAACTCAGGTACATGCCCTTGACTGGGAATTGAACCTGAGACCCCTAAGTGTGTGGGCCAATGCTCCAACTGAGTCACACTGGCCAAGGCAAAATTAGACATTTTTATATGCAAATGAACCAGAAGTACTGGGGGATTTGACCCTGTCTCTCCATTTGAGGCAACTATTGAAATTCAGGCAGACATTTAAAAATGGAGAAAATGTGCTATGTGAGACTCTGGCTGATAAGTCACTGCAGGTGAACAGCAAGACAGAAGTCTATGTTGAGAATACCACGATATAACAGTTTTTGCTAAAGGCTACTGTCCTTGGCCTTTACAATAGCTGCCCATGTACCTCAGACTAACCTTTCTGCCTGCGATGGTGGAAGTGTCCGGAGATGTCGGAAGGGTTTGCTTCAGTGAATTCTGGTAAATGACCAGACCATTCCAGTTTCTCTTGAATCTAGAACAGTCATCTGAAAATATAGAAACCAAAAAATATCGTAAGAACATTGAGTGGAAAGTAAAGAATTATAGTGTAAGACTTGTATTGTGAGAAGATATCTTAAGAAAGCACTTTGGCCGGGACCGGTTTGGCTCAGTGGATAGAGCGTCGGCCTGCGGACTGAAAGGTCCTGGGTTCGATTCCGGGCAAGGGCATGTACCTGGTTGCGGGCACATCCCCAGTAGGGGGTGTGCAAGAGGCAGCTGATCGATGATTCTCTCTCATTGATGTTTCTAACTCTCTATCCTGCTCTCTTCCTCTCTGTAAAAAATCAATAAAATATGTTTAAAAAAAAAGAAGAAAAAAAAAAGAAAGCACTTTGATACTTTTTTGTGGTAAAATATACATAAAAATTTACCATTTACAAGTGTATAGTTCAGTAGCATTAAGTACATTCACACTGTTGTTTGTGCAACATCATCACCACCCATTTCCAAAATCTTTTCATCCCCCCAAACTGAACGCTAACTCCTCATTCCCCCTTCACCTGGCAACCACCATTGTAATCTCTGTCTCTAAAAATCTGACTATTCTAAATACCTCATATTAGTGGAATAGTACAATATTTGTTCTTTGTGTCTGGCTTATTCACTGATCATAATGTCCTCAAGGTTCATCTGTTTATAGCATGCATCAAAAAATTTTTTTCAATATATTTTTATTGATTTCAGAGAGGAAGGGAGAGAGAGAGAGAGAGATAGAAACATCAATGGTGAGAGAGAATCATTGATTGGCTGCCTCTTGCACACCCCCTACTGGGGATGGAGCCTGCAACCCGGGTATGTACCCTTGACCAGAATCAAACCCAGGACCCTTCAGTCTATAGGCTCTATCCACTGAGCAAAACTGGCTAGGGCAATACTTCATTTTTTAAAGCAGTTTTAGGGTCACAGCAAAATTAAAAGGAAGACACAGAGACTTACCATATACCACTTCCCCCACATATGTATAGCTTCCTCCTCCCCCACCATGCCCAGGCCCATTTGGCTCAGTGAATGGAACGTTAGCCCATGGACTGAAGGGTCCTGGGTTTGATTCTGGTCAAGGGCATGTATTGGTTGCAAGCTCAATCCCCGGCCCTGGGCAGTGTGTGCTGCAGGCAACCAATCTGTGTCTCTCTCACATCAATGTGTCTCTGTCTCTTTCTCTCCCCCTCCCTTCCATTCTAAAAATTAATGAAAAAGATATTCTTAGGTCAGGATTAACAACAACAACAAAATCCCCCACCATGAGTTATACATTTGTTATATTGTAATTAATGAACCTACATTGACACATTATATAATCACCCCAAATCTACAGATTAATGAATGCTCACTCCTGGTGTTATTTTAAAAAATATATATTTTATTGATTTTTTTACAGAGAGGGAGAGGGATAGAGAATTAGAAACATCAATGAGAGAGAAACATCGATCAGTTGCCTCCTGCACACCCCCTACTAGGGATGTGCCCGAAACCAAGGTACATGCCCTTGACTGTAATTGAACCTGGGACCCTTCAGTCTGCAAGTCAATGCTCTATCCACTGAGCCAAACCAGTTAGGGCTCACTCCTGATGTTATACATTCTATGTGTTTGGACACATGTAAAATGACATATAGTCTTATTACTGTATCATATGGAGTATTTTAACTGCCCCAAATCCTCTGTGCTCTACCTGTTCATCCCTGTCCCTGCCCCCATTTATCAGATTTTCATTCCTTTTTATAGCTAAATAACATTCCATTATATGAATAGAGTATAATTTGTTTATCCATTCACCTGCTGGTAGATATTTGGGCCATTTTCACATTTTGGCAATATAAATAATGCTGTTGTGAACATGGGTATATAAGTATCTGTTCAAGTCCCTGTTTGCAATTCCGTTTGATATAGAGTATATCCATTGATACCGTGCTTTCCCACAGAAAACATTAATTAAAATAAGTTTTCTGACAAAATCCATTTAATATATCCCACTAGAAAAGCTTCACCCACAGTAGAACCAGGCCTGCTGCCAGAAGAAAAAACACCCAAATTGGAGTTGATTTGTTTGCTCTGTTCGGGGGAAAAAAGGCAGTGAATATTTCCTTCTTCCCATGTTCTGAAGACCAGGCCAACAGGCCCACTCACACACCCACGACCATGCCCAGGCTGCACTCCACAGTCTTCCAAGTGCAAATCACCCATAGCCTTTAAATCCTTCATTCTAGGCTCTGAGCCCACAAACCTCTGGAGGGACCCCAGGCCCATCCTGTTTGTGTGAAAAGAACCAGCTCCTTATCGGGGCAATAAACATGTTTATAAACAGAACAAGAGCAGGGCAGGACAGCACCAACCCTCACTCAACTGGCCTCAGATTCAGGTTGAATATTAAACTGGAAACTCCAAAAGTGATTATCGCACCTTGCAAAGCTCCTTCAGACAGGACCCACAGTTCTGTTTGTTGCAGAAAGCTGCCCAGAGACACACGGATTCAGAGGGACTGAGGAAAGATCACGGGCAGGAGACCCTGAAGGAGCTTCCAGGACCCCGTAGGCCTCCTCCCCAGCCTCCCTCCAGAGAGAGAACATGCTGTTTCTGGGGCAGGACAAACAGGCTCGCAGTGACCTTCTTAGGCGTCTATAAAACCAGGTCCGGGATGGTTTTCTTAGGTTCCTTTTTACACAAATGCATAATCATAAAAAGTCAAAGAGTACACAATTACAGAGTAAAAATGTAAAATCCTGTTCTTCCCTTAATTCTTACTCCCTCTTCCACTTAAGATAATCAACCACTGCTCACATATTATATCCTACAAAGCCTTTTCTTTTTTTCTTTTTTAAATATATTTTATTGAGTTTTTACAGAGAGGAAGAGAGAGGGATAGAGAGTTAGAAACATCAATGAGAGAGAATCATCGACCAGCTGCCTCTTGCACGCCCCCTACTGGGGATGTGCCCGCAACCAAGGTATATTACATGCCCCTGACCGGAATCGAACCTAGGACCTTTCAGTCCGCAGACTGACGCTCTACCACTGAGCCAAACCGGTTTCAGCCAAAGCCTTTTCTTATATTTACATGCATATACACAGCTGACCTAGATTTTCAAGGCTGGCTACTGAGACGGGGAACTCAGGAGGTGGGAAACAGATAAAAAACAAAACCATTCCATTAGATACTCACACTCTGGAGCTTACGTAAGTTTTAGGGTTGAAGTGATGCTCTCTCCCTGTTATTCCACCTGCAGCATGCAGCCATCATACAGCACTGTCTACATCACCTGCTCCCCAACACCAAACATGGCTTCACCTGTCCTCCACAGTCCCCCAGCTCCTGACAAAGGTCAAGGGAGAGAAAGGAGGCAGGAGCACAAATGGGAAATGATCCAGTTTCAAGTCAGACAAGCCTGGCTTCAAAGTCCAGCTCTGCCACTTGTTTGCCTGAACCTCAAGCAAGCCATGGCTCTTTCCTGAAAGGCAGGTGCCTGTCTGTAAAACAGAGCTGACTGCCAAAACCGGTTTGTAGTTCTGGGTAATGTCCATTTTATATTTTAGTTGTATTTTATTGAAATTGTTGTGTGTGGCTGCAGTTGGGTGTTTACCTGTGCAGCCATCTTGGATTCTCTCCCGAAACCGGTTTGGCTCAGTGGATAGAGCATCGGCCTGAGGATCGAAAGGTTCCAGGTTTGATTCTGGTCAGGGGCATGTACCTTGGTTGCGGGCACATCCCAAGTGGGGGGGATGCAAGAGGCAGCTGATTGGTGATTCTCATTGATGTTTCTAACTTTCTATCCCTCTCTTACTCTCTGTAAAAAATCAATAAAATATATTTAAAAACAAACAAACAAACAAACAAACAAAAAAACAGAGCTGACAAACACAATCTGCCTCACCATCATCAATCCCCATGCAACACCTAAGGGCTCAGCTCTTACTTGGGGCTCACTGGCTGGGGTGTGGGTGACATCCCTCTCTCATTTCCACTCACCCCTGCCCAGGCAGTGCAGGGCAGGCAGCCAGCAGGGCCCTGCCAGCAGGTGCACTTTCCCTCGGACTCAGAGTGGGAGGAAGGGAACAAATGGTTTCTCACTGTAAACACTGCACTTACCTAAAGGTTACTCCCAAGTTCACTGCACAGGAATGGGGTGGGGGGAGGGTTAGTTCTCTGAAGTGGGAGGGGGCTGGCCCCAGCTGCCTGGAATATAGGGAAGTTCCTCTGACTCTTGAACAATACAGCTTCCAACTGCACAGTTCCACTTATACAAGGATTGTTGTTTTTTTTTTTTTCAGTATTGTAAATGTATTTTCTTTGCTTTTATTATTTCTTTAAATAAATTGCAGGAAGATCCCAAATTTATTTTTTACTTTTTTGAAATTAATATATTTTTATTGATTTCAGAGTGGAAGGGAGAGGGAGAGATAGAAACATCAAGGATGAGAAAGATCTAGGGGACCGAGCCCACAACCCAGGCATGTGCCCTCGAACGGAATCAAACCTGGGACCAACCCTTTAGTCTGCTAGCCGATGCTCTAGCCACTGAGCCAAACTAGCTAAAGCTAAATGTATTTTCTTAATACTACTTTATTTTCTCTAGCTTACTTAATTGTAAGAATACAGTATATAAATATATTTAACATACAAAAATATGTGTCAATCAACTATATAAGGCTTTTAGTCAACAGTAGGCTATTAGTAAAGTTTTTTGGGAAATCAAAAGTTATATGTGAATTTTCAACTGCACCATGGGTCCCCTGATTCTCTCTTCAAGAGGGCCCCTTAATCCCCATGTTGTTCAAAGGTCACCTGTATTTTGTGTCTTTATCCTCAGCTTTAGGCCTGGCCTGCACTTCTGGGGAAAGGGAAAAAATTCAACTCATCCAGGAACTGCAGACAGTGATCATTTTAGATAACGGGGACACCAACCACAAAGCCTGTCTGCAGGGTGGTGGGTACTTTAGCTAGAGTCGTTAGGACAAACTCTCCCAATTTGAGCTTAAGCTTAAGTGAT